CGCGGTAGTCGGCAGACTTCACCACCTCCTGGATGGCGGTGGCAAGAGTGAGATCCTTGCGCGGCTCACCCATGGCTCACTTGGTCGGCCACGAACTCACCAGCGGCAAGAGCGGCACCTCCTGGGGCGGCGCCGTGCCGGATAACGGTAGAGCGGCCCCCAACGCCAACGAGTTCTCCCAGCGCGCGGCAGACCTGACGATACAGATGGCCAGCTCCAGCAGTCGGAAGCTGCCTGCTGATGTCGGCGCCGCTCGCAAGCGGGAAGAGCCCCCTTCTGCCTGCGCCTGCCGCCAGGACCTGAGACCGACACAGCTGCACGAGAGTGGCCAGTTCCCGCGCGCCCAGCAACGCGCCCGACCGCCGCCTGCCGGGCTCCCAGCGGCGGTCGTGATTCAGTCATGACTTCTTGGGGCGCGCCAGCTCACGTTCTTCGCGAGCCTTGCGCGCCTGCTTGGCTATGGATGCCCCCCTCTCCATCTCCGTCGCGACGTGCTCCGTTAGAGAAGGGCAACACATGACGACGCCACCACAGCGCCCTTCACCCACGAACATATCCTGCCCATCGAGGGCCAGGGCTGTCTTGCCGAAAGCGTTCCTGTCGGCCTCCCTCAGTTTCTCGCGGTAGGGGTGCTGGGCCCGACGGCAGGGGTGCTCCAGGCAGGTTATGTTGGCCAAGTCCACTTGGTCGTAGCAGCTCGCGTGTGTCAGCACCTTCATCACCGATTCGCGCTTGAGCATCCCCCAGTCGCTGGCGCTAAGCTTCGCGGCCTGTCCCCACCACCCGCGGCGGTCGAGCGGGGCCCCTCCGCGGGCGCCGCGCCCGAGTAAGGCTGCACACCAAGGCACCGACCGCGGGCCCTCGATAGGCCAGTCTGACAGCAGGACCTCCCAGATACCCTCCACCACGTCCCTCCAAGCGCGGCGTCGGACTCCAGAGCCCGCAGCGTACTGAACCCGCAGCACACGCGCGTCGGCATCCCAGTCGATCAGTTTCATTCCCTTCGTGGTGTGCTCTTTCCTGAACTCATCTTCGCGGCCGACCTCCACGCGAGCGATGGCCATCGACCACCCTGGCAAGATCTCGATCGCCCCGCGATCGCCCACGGCCACTGCAGAGGCGTTGAACGGTGCTCGCCCGCCCTTCTCGCGGCCGCACAGGGACTCGGCGTGGACCCAAACCGTGCCGATGGGGTGGCCCCTCGAGCGGCGTCGCCGCCCCGCCCCCCTCGCCAGCGAGAGCGAGCACATCACCAGGCGGCGACTCCGCCGGGCCATGGAGTGGTGGCGGCACGTCGGGCAGCCCGAGTGCGGCGCGCTCCCCGGCGAGCAGCGGGACCGTCTCCGCCAGCAGCTCGTCCAGCAGGGAGGCGGCCGGCGGCAGGTCGAAACCGTACACCCGCGCGAGGTGGATACCGTGTGGCGTTCCCCCACATGGGTTCACCACTCGCACCGCGACGGCGTCACTCCCGTCACATGCCCCAATCTGCTCGACGTACAAGCCGCCTTCCCGCATGAGAACGAACCACCACTTCGTCGCCTCGTCCACCGCTCGAATAACCAGACGCGTGTGCCACGTCGCTTCTCGGCGTACTTCACTAGGGCGACCCCGCCTGGCTGGACACCACCACCACACCACCAGGGCGGCCTTACGCCAAAGCGCCCCATCGGTGATCGTGGCGGCGAAGGCGCCAGACAAGCACCCGCAGCAGCACGTCGTGATCAGCAGGGGCATTACGAGAAGCAGCACGCGAGCTCCGACGGCACCCGAAGTGCGGCAGCTCGCCACCACGAGGTCCAACCACTTCTCGCAGTCGACCGCGGCGGAGCGCCACCCCTCACAGACAGCACTCACAACCTCCTCGGGCACCGAGGCGGGCAAAGCGTACCAGCTCAGCAGGCCGACGGCAGCCCCACGAGCGATCTCGGCGGGCAGAAGCTGGATGGTGAGTCCGCGCACGAACCCCCTCCAAGAGGAACTGGCCCACCCAGGGGGCTGGCCAATCCTCCTGGGTTGTACCAAGAAGCTGCGGAGAAGCTGCGTCGGCGCTGACGACGACTACGACGATGAGAACGACGCCGACGACAAAATTACGACCAAGACGCCGACGACGGCGACGACGACGACGACGAGGACGATGACGACGAAGACGGCGACAGACGAAGATGATTCACGACAGACGACCACGACGACGACAACGACGACGCCGACGACGAAGACGACGGTGACAACGAGCGGTGGCTACGGTTGCCGAGGTGGCGACGACGCCGACAACGCCGACGACGACGCCGACGACGACGACGATGACGCCGACGCCAACGATGAAGACGATGACGACGACGATGTGGACAACGCCGACGACGAAATCACGACCACGACGCCGACGCCGACGACGACGACGACGACGACGACGGCGACGACGACGACGAAGACGACAAAGACGGCGACGGACGACGATGATTGACGACAGACGACGACAGACGACGACGACGCCGACGAC